GCAAAAAACACAAACAAATAAAAGTTATCCAAAGATTAATGGCACAATACAACAGACATCAAAACATTTAGGTATGTAATACATCAAAACCAACAACATGTATGCTAGACCCTGTACCAGAAATGTCCAAACCTGCTCTGGAGGCCACTGTCCTACTTGCCCCAAAACACCTGCCGGAAGTTCCCAACTCTGGCCCTTGAAACCCCCTTTCCTTCAGAGTTTAGCTCAAACCCTAATCAAACACACCTGTACATACTAATCAAAGTCTTCTGTATTATTTGAAAGTTAAATGCAGTTTTATCAAGGTTTCAGAAAAGGGGACCTTGCGGGTCAGAGTTGAGAAACGCTGCTCTTCACAATATTACTTACTTTCTTGAGGTCATGTCCCAAAAACCTTTAAGCTGGCAGTTAAACCCTTTATTAAAAAAAGCACAGTTCGACCCAGGAGATATAGTTAATTATAAACTTATCTCAATTAGCGATGCTAATAATTAATCATTGATCAGTTAATTGACAAAAAAAATAATAATCCAAAGAAACTGAATCTGTTTGTAAAAGGTCATAAAAGTGAATTATATTTTCTGCACGATCCAGACACTTATATTAGATGTTGTGCTGGGGGAAAGCTAAACTGAATTACTGGTGTGTGTAAAATCTCTAGGCCCCACATGAAGTTGAATGTAGATATAAAAAAAAATTAATAATTCATTCCTATAACTTAAATTTCTGGCCACGGCTCATTGATTTGTTCTCTCTTTAAAGTAAAACTAAGCATCAAATTAGTACAATGTGGACATGCCTCAACTAAAATGAGGGAACAAATGAATAAGTAGTGTTATTAATATTGTAATATTGTTAAAATGTGGAAATTCGAGTGATCAAGCCGCAAAAAAGTACACAAAGCCGCATATGGCTTAATTTAAATTTATGGGATTCTATCACCTCTGTCAATCGGCATGTATCCAAATGTTTACATGGGCAAGATGTAATATTTGCCTGATAACCAATTATTTATATTGTAAACAAAGCGTGCAAAAATGTGTTGCCATACCACAGCCGGGGATAGTTCTTAGTCCACAGACCAGCACAGCCCTACGCTCCATAGTCAAATCTGGGATCACTTTACTTTAAATGTTAATAGTGTTATTTACAAACATCAAAACTGTGTTTTAAAATACAAAAAAGAAGCACCATTATAACCGCACATTCAGCGGTCTCTGTGAAGGGATAAGAAACTATACATTCAACAATAACCAATGTTTTAGCAATGTTTGCAATTAACATTATCACTCTTTAAAGGAAAATGATTCCAAACACAACTATGGCATGCTCGCTTCATTTGATCAAATGTTCATAATTGCATCGATTCGTTTTACAATTCTACTAGCCTTTTATTTAGACTAAAAAACGTACTCGGTTACTAACGTAACCTCGGTTCCCTGAGATACGGAACGAGTACTGCGTCTGCTAAGACGCTTTGGGGAAAACTCCTTTTTCTCAGATGACTGAAGCCTTTCAATAATGCAGTGTAACTGCATTGCCATTGGTTCGTGCAGTGAATAAAAAATGAACCAATGAAAAGTGAAAAGGCTATGGCGACAAAGCCTGCCAGAATGGGCGGGGCCATCTGGCTATATAATCGGGCATTTCGCCATAGGATCCTCAGGTTACTTCGACTGAAGCGACGACTGAGTCGTGCAGCTTCATAGCATGGCAAAGTACGCAGTACTCGTTACGTATCTCAGGGAACTGAGGTTACGTTAGTAACCGAGTACGTTCCCTATCGATACTTCACTCGTACTGCGTCTGCTAAGATGCTTTGGGGAACGTGCAATGCTAGAGGAACGGCTAATACTTGAACTTGCATTAAGCACCCAAGGGGGGCCCAGAGGGACCAAGTATTTTGCAGGGAAGCCCTGATAGAGTTATTACCTGTGCTCTGAATGGAGTAGAGAGCACTTTAGCTATGTAACCACGCTTGGTTTCAGGATGACTTTAGAGTCGTTAGGCCCGAATTCGAGGCAGGTGGGGCTCACAGATAGCGCCTGCAGATCTCCCATACGCTTTACCAATGCTAACGCTAGTAGCAGAGCAGTCTTAAGCATCAAGGAACGAAGGTCAATGGACTGTAGCGGCTCAAATGGAGGGCTCTTCAGAGCCCTCAACACCGTGAGAAGATCCCATGTAGGAACGATGATGGGGCGAGGCGGGTTGAGCCTTCTAGACCTCTTCAGAAAATGAACAACTAAGTTGTTCATGCCCACCGATTGGCCA